GGAAGGTAGAAAAAAATATATATATAAAATATATATATATATATATATATATATATATATAATGCTTATAATTAGAAATTCTTATTAATAGTAAACTTATAAATAATAATAAACTTATTTAGAAATTCTTGATAATTCTTAGGACTAATATGGCCGATTGAAGCAATGCCAATGAGTCTTCGATGGTTTGGATTAAGTATGCCTGTTACAATACCAGGAATGTCATTGAGAAATGTCATGCAAAAAGGAATTTCTATCGATAAACCAGAAATATTCACAGGATTTTTTGTGGCTATTGGATGGATTCTGGGTCTTTTAATATTTTCCGTATTTTTATTACAGAAGAAGTTATAAAATAATTAATGTGAAACGATTTAAAAAAAGAAAAACATTCAAACATAAAAGAAAATAATTGACAATTTAAATCCATTTGTTAATGTAATTTATCATTACAAAAGAAATTGTATATAATATTTTTAAAAATTTTTTTTAAATTTTGATAATGATTCGTATAATCAACAAAAAAATATGATGTAATTTAAACGAATTTAAACGATGTAATTTTAACATCAGAAGCATTAATTTAAATTTAAACTTATAAGAAAAGAGAATGTGTGTTCAGATTTTGCCGTTTTATAATAAAATAAAATAATTAAATAAAAAACTATGCAAGTTATTGATAATTTAATAAAAGAAATATTTCAAATATATTAAAGAAAATTTACCTTAATTTTATTCTTCATTAAAATTTCTTTTTTCTACAGTTCTGGGATCACGTCGAAATAATCCATATCAAGATTTAATCTAAAAAGATATCGATTAGATTAGAGAAAATTATTTGTAAAACAATAAATTGTAAATAAATAGGATAAAGATGAAGCAATTTTGGCATCAATAAAATATAATTTTTCGTTTTTGATTTATTGATCTCCTTTTACATGCTTATTTATCTTTCACAGATATACATGTGTTACAACAGTCACTATTATCGGAGATTAACATAGTATACAAACATATACAACGTGCGAACTATGCGTGTGAATTCTTTATATTTTTTTTATTTATATTTGTTTATTTATTTATTTTCTTTAAGTCGCTCTTAGGCTGGAGTGTATTTATTGATAATATTATTGGGATACGTCACATCGACCATCGATAATGGAATGTTTTTTGCAAAATAAAAGATTAAAATAGTAAAATATTCTGTAAATATTAATATTTATAAGAAATATCCATTTGAAGAAATAAATATCGTTGTTGTGTAATATTGAGAATAATTTTATCAATAAAATTTGCCAATGTATATATATATTGATTCAATGATCTTTTAAAATAAACGTATTACATTAAACATGATTTAAAATTGCCTGACATTTAGATGAGAGATCGCCAAATAAATCACGCAATCACGCAATTATAATAAAATTTAATATTAAATCTTAAATTCTATTTTAACTTTTTTTAAATCTTGAATCTGCAATTAAATATATTTAATTAATTGAACATAGAGAAAATAGTGTTATTCAGTTAATTATTTGATGGAAGATTTTTTTGGCGATTACTTATCATATTATTATCAAACAAAGAATTACAACACTTGATTTTTGCACTCCAATAGATCTATCTTGTTTTAAATGATCAACAAATAATGAGGTATATAAATAGATAAAACATAAGTAATCTGCAGGATCTTTTTAATATTAGGATAGATTACTAAATCTTTGAAAATGAATTTTCCAGATTTTTGAAAAAATACAGATATTTTTAGCGAAATTAATTCTAAAAATTATTATAATATAGCTGCTCATATAAAATGTTCTATGTTGATTTATTATTATTGAAAATTATTAAATTAAATTATCAGCCATGCGAAAAAATAATTGAATAAAACAAATAAAAAAGAATTGAAAATATGTATTCTATATTCAAGAACTATTCTTTAATTTTAATTCTGTATTTATAATATGTGATATATATATTAAGAAATATATTTTCTACTGATAAATCAGATCAATATTTCTATTGGTAAATGAGAAAGCGAAATAAATATTTTTGTTTTATATATTGGAATATCTTTGGAAGATATGATTCTAAATATCAATATGAATACAAAAATTAGTATACAAAAATGAAGCTTATTTATTAAGTTTGCATTAAATGAAGTGATAATGTGACAGAAATAGAATCATTTCTATCTATGTTTCGCTTGCTCAAATCTAAATTTCAATAGCTCAATAAATAACTCTCAATAGATATTTTTATATATTAACTTTTGTGTTTGTCTTGAAATCAAGATCTTTAAAATCATTGGATACTTAGTTATTTCCAAAGTTATAAAAATACAATATATGCTATAATAAAATTCTTTCCAGGCCGAAAGTCGTATCGAACAAATTTACAGTCAATAAACTGATGAATTTTAATTATTCTTTAAAAACTCGTTAGATATTTTTTATAAAAGATGAAGTCTTTTTAACTTTTAATTACATTCTGCGAACTTCTAATAAGTTCATTAATATTTTCGAAGAAGTTATAGTCCTTATAATTTCTTATTGCATGCAGACAGATTTTTTTTTCAATTATTTTTTTAATAATAATGATTATTCGAATAATTTAATTAATTTAAATTTTTAAAAATTTTAAATTTCAAATATTATACATATTTTTCTCTTTCACATAAATTTCATATTGATTTGAAAATAAATTTAAAAATAAGATAACATGTATGAATCCATTAGAGTGTAAAATTCAGTGTATTGTAAGTTAATAAGTTAACACATTAGCGACCGATAATGAGGTAGAAATTCATAAGATTTTATAATTGAAATAAAAACAGAAATATAAAGTAACTATGAATCAAATATCATATTTAATTATAATCAATGATAATTAATATAAATTATTTTTAGTTTTACTTTTATTTATTATTTTCTATTATTTTTAATTTTAAACATGGAAGAATAAATATGATATAAATATAATATATCACTTAAATATTATATTAAACGGTCGTTAATGTATTAAACAATTCTAGAAGAAAAAATTGAAATTCAACTATCTAGAATATCTAGATATTCATAATCTTTAACAAACAATCTTCTGGACTGTAATTAGAAAAGAAATTTTTTTTTAAAAATATAATGATGATTCAAACACATCGAATTTCTTTCGCGTTTATCCAATTTCTAACATTCTTTCTTTTTCATTCATTCTTTCATTCTTTCTTTTTTGCCAACGTATATAAAATATGTATTAATTATTTTAATTTTTCCTTATAAATCCGTTCTTATATCCAAGGGACGCTAAATCGAAATTTTTTGCTGCTCGCAAAAATCACACATATTTTACAATATGTCGTATAATAGTAAATATAATAGTAAAATTTTTCTAATAAAATTGTTTTCCATTTAACAAAATATACGAATAAATCTTACATATAATTCGATTTTTCTTTTCGAATTACTTTAAAAATCACAATTAACATTTATTATGTTTAATTAATATTTTACAAAATAAAAAAAAAAAGAAAAATTTTAAATTCATACATAAAATATGAAGCAACGTCCTCATTGAAGCAAAAAGTTTTTTCAATTTATTCGATATTTTTTTGTAACATGCAACAACATCAAACAAGAAAAATTTCATCTTTATTGCTGTAATGAGGATGAAGCTTTATTATAATCACTATTTGATTGACTCTATATAATTTTGACCTGCATGTTTTATTGCGTGTCCGCATGACCATTGATTTCATTTCGAAACAACACTCGCAAATTGTCCGAAACAAGTACCAAAGCAGAAATTATTTTTAATTAATCCATCATTGAATACAAAAGGAGATAATAGGAAACATTCATTGGAACTAGAGATGCAAATATTGCAAATATTGAAATAATAACTGCAATTATGATAAACACGTAACTTATACGACTTGTTATTTATTACAAAAAAATAACAATATATTGTGAGAGAATAATAACAATAATAATATATATATAATTTTTTTTAATAATGGAGTTAATAATTTAATATATGTTTTTTATTTTATAATAATAATTCAAATATAAAGTTGATAGAAGCAATTTTATTATTATTTATTCTTATTTTTCCTTTTTGAGGTTATTTTGTTTAAATCCTTATAGAAAATGAAAATAATGATTTTATTACATTATTTTCAGTAACATGCCAAATATTAAATAACATTTCTTCTTCTTTTTTTTTTAATATTTGAATACGTGCCTTTCAACAAGCTTCTATGTGCTTGTGTATTCATAAATTCATACAATGATAGAACTTGAAATATTTTGTGAAATTTTAATGATAAAAAAAATGATGTCATTTGTAAATTTATTTATTAATATAAATTGTAAGAAATTTTTTAATTAATTTTTTGTATAAATTTTATATAAAATTTAATAATTTTCTTTGCAGATAATTTCTTTTGGGACAATTGCGAGATATAATATAATGTAATATAATTATCAAATTTGACACCATTTTTTTAACATTAATAGTGCAAAAAAATGTATCAAATTCTAACGTTAAAAAATATGATCCGAATACGAAAGAAAAGAATCAAAAAATTGCAAAATTTTTCGAATCAGTAAGCAGTGCCGGGGATAATAATATTTGAAAACTGAAAATTTTAATTTTTACAATTAATTCAATTAATTTTCGATTAATTGTACAAATCAACAATAAATTCTATAATAAATAAATCGATAGTATGATTATAATTAAATTATTTGCTTTATATTAAATTATTGATAATAAAAATTAATTAAAGATATTATCTTGATATCTTTCGACTAAGATAAAGTAAATATTAACAAGATATATATGTTCTTATTTTTTCTCTTCATTTTTTTGTTAAAAAAAAAATAGTTCCATTTTTTCAAGTTTAAAAATATTATCTATGTTATATTTGTACTTTAGAAAAACAATTCCAATTCATAAATATTTAAAGCTTTTGAATCTTATATCAATCCAGGTACGATAAATCTTCAATTTTATTTTAATATTCAAAAGATAAAAATTTTAAAAAATTCTTTTTCCTATATAACCACTATAATTTGTACTTTTAATCTAAAAAAAACTTCTGTTTCTAAAAAATACAAAAAAGTATATACAAATAAAACATATATAAAATACTTCAATTTTTCTCTATAAAATATGTTAATAAAAATATTAAATTATTTTGCAGATAAATTGTGCTAATAATTAATATTAATCAAAAATTAATTATTGCTATTCAAAACAATATTTTAAAATTTTTTAATATTACAATAATACTGTAAATATAATATATTTTCAAGACATATATTTTTTTGTTTTTAAATAGTTTAAACAAAATAAACTGTTAAATTCATAAAAATTCTATTAAAATTTATCTTACAAATTTTCAGAGTGATTTTCTGATTGACAACAAAAGAGAAACAAATTTTTTGTTAATAAAATAATTGCTTTCACGACTAATACTACCAAAAAAAAAAGATATTATTTAATAAACTTATTTTGTCTATTCTAACAAATTTCAGCAAAAATTGTGATTCGAGATATGGGAAAGATTCGTCAAACTTCCCCAGCACTGCACAGAAATGAAAATTCTAGTCGCGATTAATCGTGCGACCAATAGGGACATTTTCGCGTATACTAAAGCTTTGAATGTTCTCGTAGGCGTGTAAATTCTTGTTGTTGTTGATGTAGCTGTCGATGTTGTTGCTGTTAGCCGTGCTACTAACGCCATTACTATCGCGATTGTTAGTAGCAGTATTAGAACATTTAGCAGTAAGGCAGGGGCCGCATCGGATTGGCATGGGTCGAGCAGCAACAAGACAGTCAATTATCTGTCTTACAGTAGGCATGCAGGTTTTGCTGTACCCTGGAAAACACATATCACATGCTCCATCAGAACCGAACCACACATCGACTTCTATCACGCCATCGGGAGGGAGGGATTTCGATTATCTCGTTTTCTTTTCATAATGATTTTTTTCTCGCATCGCAATGAATATTCCTTTGAATTCATATACAAAAATTGAGAAAGAGATGTCATCGAATGTATCATAAAATGAACGTGAATATTTCGTATCGTCAACGCATAGAACTCAAACATAATTTCGTTTATCTAGAAAGAGATAAGTTTAAGAAATCTAAAACAGAAAAATGACGGATCTATGAATTAGAATTGAGATATGGAAAAAAGAGAAAATTTGATAAATTTAAGATACAATGAGATGAAAATGAAGTCGATTTAAATAATTGATTAATTTGTTTGTTACAATAGTTTATCTTCAAATAGTAAAACAATGATGAATTGACTTTTTATGAATTCATTTCAAATAAATTTTGAAATTTCTATCTTTTTAAATTATTTTTTTATTTAGAATAGAAACAACTTTTTTTTTATATATCTGTTATAATGTCTAACATATTTCTATTCTATTCTATTTTCTTGCAAAATTTTAAATAAATAAAAATTTTCGAGATATTAAAGTTTTATAAAATATAAAAATGATATCGATTATATTTATATTTTTTTATTGGAATTAATTAAAATTATGATTCTTGTATTTTTTAAAAATATTAATCTCTTTTTAGATCATCCACATTTTTATCATAATATCATAAAAAAATTTGAAAAATTTATTTTTAAATATTCTCTTATAAAAATTAATTCTGATATAATTATTTTAAATTTAAATCCAAAAATATCATTAAATTCAAAAATATTAATAATATCCTTGATAAATATATAATAAAAATTCAAAAATATTAATAATACCCTTGATATATATATAATAAACTGACAATATTTTAAAAAATTTATAATATTCACAATTATAATCAAAATCTACTCTTTTCCTTTCTTCAGACATTGTTCTCTTTCTTCAATTTTTAAGAAGATTTAAAAAACATTTTGAAAACATATCGATTTTTATTTAATTCTTATAACGATTGCATGATAGAAGTCGTGATGGCCAAACACATTTCACATATCACGAAATAATCGAAAAATACAAAAACAACAAAGAAACGAACGATATAGGGATAGAAAAAAGAAGCGAATTGGTCCAAAATGATACAAGGACAGCCTAAGGCTGTTTTAGTCGCACTCAGGAAGCACTTTTTTTCGTGAATTAACCCTTTGCGGTCGAAGGCCGGTATATTTCCAGGTAACTGTTCTATTATAATAACATTCAATTCCACGTCAATGAGAATTTTTTATAATAAAAATAAATAGACATTTTCTCTATAATAAAAATACATCAATCGAATTGCAAAACATTCGCGCTCTTTTTCTTTTTTTGTCTTTTCATGTTCGATCATGTGGTACTCTTATAGAAAAAATGGCGTCCCCAAAGGGTTAAACCATCAATACCGTCAGCTTGAGCATATTTCTCGCCACCTTCGTCTATCTACGTTACAAATAACAAGAGCGAACAACAATTTGCTCGAGAGGGGATGAAAATAGTGTAGAAAAAATTAAGCTTGCGTACCAAACTAAGAAAAAAAATAGGGCTGTGATAAGAAGAAGGATGTGTTCGAAAAGAAAAAAGACATCCTTTTCAATTAAGAAGAAAAATTAAAAAAAAAAAAAAAAAAACAAAATTAAAAGAAACTAATCGCTTTTCGCAAAATCATTCGCAAACAGAATGCTCTTTAACAATAGCTTGTCGAATAGACGCGATTATTGGCAGAACAATGGAAATTAGGCACTATGAAAACATAGATATATGTCTAAGAAGCTCAACAATTATACCAAATAACTAGAGATGTGCAAAATTGCATTTATAGCCTCGGAACAAACGAAAGATATTGAATAAGATTAAATGAGATTTCGATACTTTTTCTTGTATTGTTCGAGATATATTAAAAGAAATTTTTGAAATTTCAAAAACATGAGCGATAATTTTGATCTCATATAATAATCAAAATACCCAGCTAAAATTCTCGAATAATACGAAAATATTGCAATCGATCGTACTCGAATCGAAGTTCGGATTCTCGAATTACAAATTTGCACATTTTTATAAGCAACAATTCATTTCCATTGCACCTAAGCATATTTACAATCGAGTCTATTGATAAATTTTATAATAAAAATATTCTAAAAAAAAAATACCAATATAAATTAATTATAAAAAAGATATTTTTAATATAATTCATGAGTATATTAATTTCGTTCGAGGAACGATTTCATCACAGTTAGATGCAGTGGAGTGGTTCGCCGATATTTGAATAAAATATTCGCAAAAAAGATAATAATTGTGATCCCTGGAGGGATTTCTCAAAGCGAGATTTACGACAGAGAGAGAGAGACGCATGATATTAAAGATAACAAAAAAAAAAAAAAAAAAAAAAAGAAACTAATTCAAAATAAGAGAATATTACTTATAAGATATACTTGTAGAAATCTCTTAGAAGAAGATAAAGAAAACATTATTTATTATTATAATAACGGATATAGATGCACGATAATGATAGAATCAAGAAACGTTTTTCGTGTCTCTTTCTCTTCTCGATTTCTCTTTGTATCGTTTTTTTTTTTT